TTTTCCTTACAAATGACCATTTTGTCCTTACATTCATTTCATATTTACTAACCATTATTTTTAAACTATATAATTATTCTACTTTAATCACCAAATGTTGAAACTTTGCAAATTAATCACTAACCCGGCATGGAGGATGTTACACCCTTACTTTAACACTTCTCCCCTTTAACACCTTAACACTTCTCCCCCTTTTTGTTAAATCAAAAAGACTCTAATCTTTGAAGTTTAAAATAACTTTGGAGAGTAAGTAGTAAATTTGACATTTTAAAAATCATTTGAAAAAATCAAAGCTCCCCCTCAATAAATGCATTCCAAATAAAATTATGCTTTTAGGATCTTGACACTTAAACAAAATTGAATTTCAACAAAGAATAACAAACATATTAGTAGCACATGAAATTCAATACTTCCAAGTCTAAAATACTTTATGCAATATCAATTATTGAAATTAAGTGCATATGCATAAAGTTTTCCAAAAATGTTATGCATTTGAAAATTTTGATATCAATTGTTAGAGAGATATCATTTTCATTTAAACCACATGCAAAAACATTTAAATTTAGGTCAAAAATTTTAAAATTTATAAAATCAAAACATTTGAAAAGTTGATATCAATTGTTAGAGAGATATCATTTGCATTAAAACCAATTTTGACCAAAATTCCTTATGATGAACTAAAAATTCTAAAAAAATCATTAAAACTTTAAAATGTTCATTATAAAACCTTTTTAACATACATGAGATTAAAACAATAATGTATAATTATTTAAAAACAAAACTCATGCATGCTTAAAATCAAATGAGCAACCAAATAACTAAAATTAAAAACATTAAACTTAGAGGTTACCCATTCCTTTTCATGTGTGGCTAGAGCATCTTGAATATAATCATTTTCATCACAATTGATTCCACACATCTACAAGAGACATTCATTTCAATTTTGGTATCCAAATTGCTTTGGATCCTTGTGCAAATATTTTCAATTTTCTGCAAAAGCTTCCACCAAAATTTTAATTGCCAATTCACCCCCCTCTTGGCCATTTCCATCAATCGATTAACTCAACACTGAGTAAGGAGATCATCGGACATCAAAGCCAGAGTTGCCTCATCAGTAATAGTATGACATACCTGTCTACTTATGATGTATTTTAGTTGACATGTAATAAGTTTAGTAAAAACACTCTGAATAGTATTTTGAATTAATATGTTGTAAAACGGTAGGTTTTTGAACATCTCTTTTTGTTCGTCTATTTTAATAAATGTATGTTTTATTCTATGTAAATTAAAATGTTTTATAAACAAAACAAAAATTTATAGGTTTTTAAAAGAATAACAGTTTTAAAAGTGATGTGACATATGTATCTCGTATACGGAATGATATACGGGAGATGAGTGTTATATTTGGTGGTTGAGTCTCTTAACAATGATTTTCTGCATACATAAAGACTCGAACTCGAGACCTTGCTTAAGCGATATCAAGTTGGTTACCACTTGAACCAACCCTTGTTGGCTTAATTCTTTTTTAATTAATCATTGATATCTTATCTATTGAACGGCTAATCCAGATCAAGTTTTACAGAGGCTTATTATGGGGGCGACCCTCCCAACCCAATTTGGTCCATACGTAAATGTCAAGATTCAAATCATTGACCTTATTGAAAAAAATATAGTCTTTTATCATACTAGACTAACTGGTTGATGATATATTTAATCATTTTTCATCAATAATAAAGTGTATATTCATTCTTTTTATCGATATTTGATCAAATACGAATTAATTAAGTATATTCATGTTCGTTCGTTTAAAGTTAACCGAACAAATAAACACAAACAATTAAAAAAATAAGATTTTTTGTTTATGTTCGTTCCTTAAAGAATGTAGTGTGTTCGTTCATGTTCATTCGTTGAAATGATAAACAAACATAAACCACAACAATCACATAAATTTCATTAATATAAGCTGCAACTTCAAGTTTATTGTTCGAGTACGACAAAAACATGCATGAATTGTAACGACCCAAATCTCAGGTTAATAGTTCGGGTCAACCCGAGACCCATTAATTAAGCCATTTGGCCTGTAAAAAATAGTTGGACCAAGTTTAGTGTTAGTGGGCTTGGGTTGGACCCAATATAATTAATGAAGGGTGATGAGTATTTTATGAAATAGAAAGTAGAGGGACCAAAAGTGTAATTTACCCATGGTTTAAATTAAAATTTGAAACCCCCTCTATTTTATGCTTGTTTACGTGAACCTACTCCCCCATTAGCTCACCAAACACTTATCTCTTAATATCTTCTCTTCCTCTTCTTTCCCAAATTGAAGATTTCAAGCATTTCAAGTTTAGTTTGGTTAAACTAAGGTAAGAATATAAATCCCCACCTTTCAAGCTTCCATTTAAGCTCTGTATCATAAGTTTTAGCTATAGAAACCAAAAATTGGTTTTTGGAAGGTTTAAGAGAATCTATGGATTCTAGGTAGTTTGTGGATAGATTCAAGTTCTAGGAAGTGTTCCTATCTTTAATCCAACCACCTAGTTAATTTAGTAACTTCTTTTTTACTTTTGACTAGTGAAAAAAGTGAGAGAAAGCTCAAGAGTAAGGAGAAAAGAGAAATTGCCTCTTGAGTGATTTGAGAGCTTTGCTAGCAACCAAGGATTCCAAGGTAACACATTCACAACTCTTTCATATCTTTAGTGGTCATTGAAATGCAAGATAACATAAAAGTTGAGATCAAAGCTTGATAAGCATATCCATGGTAGATTCTATGTTTTAGGTGTTTAACATGTTTTAAAGCCTTATTATGATCCTTTATGATCACATAAGACACTAATAATAATAGGGAACCTCAAAATAGAAATATGGGTGAATTGAGTGCCTAAATAAGGAATTTTTTAGTGTGGGTATATGTAATGGAGGAACAGTACTGATATCATTCGTGTTTCAAGAATAAATATTATAGAGTTCATGAGGGCAGTATCGATACCCCTTGAAGGAGTATTGATACTGAGGGTTTGGTATCTAGACTGGGGTACTTGGTAACGAAACCAGTTTTTCAGAATACCATTTTGGTATCAGTACTCCCTAGGTCTAAATATCGATACTTCCCTTTTCTTTCAAGAAGAATTAGAACTAGGGTATCGATACTTAAAAGGCAATATCGATACTGGAAGATCAATATCGATACCAGAGTATTGTTTTAGGCTCTAATAACCAAGAGATTTTAAAAGGCAATTAAGGTTCCCAAAAAGCTTTAATTACCTTCAAATAAGACTACAAGTGAAAACCATAAAAATGCTTAATCACATTAGAAACGAGATCAATTAGGGTGACATAAAACTAGCCTTGATTGATGTTCGGGAAACGATCAAGATACCTGAGATCCTTTAGTAAAGATAAGGGTGTCAAAGTATAGAATCAGTCTGAATATCCTTATGTAGTGCGCGAGGCACTTTAAACGGACAAACTAAGATGCAAGGTATGACACTCGCAAAGGTTAGGTTGGTTGAGGGTGTTGTGTCTAATGTAGAGATTTCGAGCCTCATCCTCGGTAGACTAGAGGGCTGCGTGAGCTTCGAGATGTAGAACCCTCAGTCGCACCATGATGTCTACCATAGTAGAGTGCAGTATACAAGTATACTCACTATTATATTTTACCATTTAGCTTGAACTTTTAATGAATATTTATAGTATCGTTTAGTTGTTAGTGTGGCACTGGGCGAGTTAGCTCGGTGTTTGAAATTTGTTTCCTTACTCAGGTTAGTAGGTGGAGCAGTTGGGGAGCCTTTTGTTCATCCTAGATCTAGACCAAGATTTGGAGATAAGTACGTCTCAAGTTATTCTGTAGAGGGCATGTATATTTGTAAACCCCATTATTTTACATATTCGAATCGTAACTTATTTTAAACTATGGTATGTATATTTTGGTTTATTATTTTTTTGAGCTCCTGATGTAAACATTTTTTTAATTAAATTATGGTTGAATTGTTGTATTGTGAGTAGTTATAAATAATTGTTTTAATTGAGTAAGAAAATTTTTGGTTAGCCCCTACGGTGGTTCCGGGTGACATTTTAATTAGTCGACTGTATATCGTACTGGTTTAGTGTTACATGAATCATATTCTAATATCAATGAATAACAATCATACTTATGTGATGAGTTCCAATAAAAAATATATTTTATGAAACTATTCTTGTCCAAGTGACAAATCCCTAACCTAATATAACAAATATCGTATATCTCTAAATATTCGATGCAAATTTTGTAATTAACATTATAAATAAAGACATAATATTTTTAATTGAATGAAATAGTTGACAAAATCGATTTTCATTAAAATTATCTCGTACCTTAGTTTAGCTTGGTTTAATATCTTAAGAGGCTTCTATATCATCCATATTTTAGGATTCTTATTTTTTAAAATTAATATGTCTACTATATTTTAGTCGTTCTATAGACTCTCGAGCAATTAAAATTTATCATTTAAGAACATTATTTTCTATCAGAGCATTCATAACTTTTTTTTTTTTGATTAAGCGAGCATTCATAACTTGTATATTTGACTTAGCAATTCTTTTTAATTTGTAAGAGTATCTATAAAATAATTTGTTAAACTTTATAAATAAATTATCTTTTAAATTTCAAGTTTACATTATTGCGTATGTTACATATCATTTGAGTATTTTTTTATTGATTTGTTTTAATTAATTATTGATTTATGAAGACATACAAATAAAAAATAAAGTTTAAATGTTATTTTTTTAAAATTTAAGTATTGAAATAGGAAAAAAATGTAATTTAGGACAAATTATCATTTAAGCCAAAAAAAAAAGGAAATTCGAAACGGGCTAGGTATTAGTTTATGTTACTGCGGATCAACCGACATCGTTTCAACTTGAGAAAATTCTAGAGCTTTTACAAGTCCATAACGACGACGTTTTAACACGGTCTGTCCTACTTCTATTCATCTTCTTCTGCAAGAAAGCGATCCACATAAAAGAAGCTTTAAACTCTCGTCCGAATGCAAACCCCTTACTCAATCATATATCTGTTCGTTCCCTTTAAATAACAGAGACGGAGATTCGAACCCTAAATTCCGACTTTACCATATCTCACCTAAAACTCAATTAACTCTCGAGTCTCCATAGTTTCTATTCCACGATGATGCTCAGAATCCGCAGCCGCGACGGCCTCGAACGGATCCAAATTGACGGCCCTCATTTGTCGATCTCCCAGTTAAAAACCCTTATGGAATCCCAACTCCAAATCCCTATCCAAAACCAAACACTTTCCATCGATCAAAATCTGCTTTTAGCTAAAACTCCCGCCGATCTCCTTCGATTCTCCGACATGGCCGACCCTTCCACCCCGCTCTCCGCCCTGAAGCTTTCTCACGGTTCCATTGTATTCTTGTACTACCACGGAGAACGCACCGTTCCCGGCCGTACCGCCGTGATTCCCGCCGGTTCATTCGGCCGTAAAATGACAATTGATGACCTGATCGCTAAACAGACCAGGATCACCCGCCAGGAATCCCCTCACTGTGACTCTGTTTCTTTTGACCGCGATTCGGCTAACGCTTTCCAGCGGTACGTCAACGAAACACTAGCGTTTGCTATCAAACGCGGAGGGTTCATGTACGGTACAGTCTCGGAAGAAGGTAAAGTGGAAGTTGATTTCATTTACGAGCCGCCTCAACAAGGATTGGAAGATGATTTGGTTCTTTTAAGGGATCCCGAAGAAGAAAAACTGGTTGATGCTATTGCGGCAGGGTTAGGGAGGAAGAGAGTGGGGTTTATTTTTACCCAGACAATAATGCAAAGCAAAATGGACTACACTTTTTCGAACAAGGAGATTCTACAGTCGGCTGAGCTTCACGCGGAGAGTGAGCAGAAAGAGTGGGTGACTGTTGTGGTGAAGCTGGAAGCCAGTGAAGATGGGATTGCGGATGTGCACTTTGAGGCTTTTCAAATGAGTGATATGTGTGTTAAGTTATTTAAAGATGGGTGGTTTGTTACAGAGTTTGGAGAAAATGATGATCCAAAGCTTTCGAAGATGGAGAAAGATGTTGTCGTTGGTGGGAAGGATGTTAAGGAGGTTGATAATGATTTCTTCTTGGTCGTTGTTAAGATTTTCGATCATCGGGTGCGTATTTTTAATCCATGATCTGATTTAATCATTTCATGTTGTGTAAATTGTTGATTATATGATTCATTGTTGTGTTTGTGTTTATTATTTGGTTATTGTTTCTATCGCTTCACAAATGTTGGAATGTTGCATATTAAGTTTGCATATATGTGAAATAACATGCAAGTTAATAAGTGCCAGCAATAGAGATTGTTGTTAGGCCTTCCCATGGAAGGGTGGAGATGCAAAGTTGTGTTTATTAGGGAGGGTATCGGTGCAGAACGGAGTTGTTTGTTGCTCCTAGTAAACCTTGGTATATTTAGGTTAAAAATTCATCAAGTGTCACAAAAACATTTTTGCTCTTAAAGCCTGGTCAAGGTTAAAAATTCAGGCTGTCATTCTAAGGTCGCTGTAAAATTTGAAGTAGAATTGGCTTTTTGGGAACATGGGGTAGTATCTTCTAGTTTCCTTTGTGATATATACTATAGATGGCCTCTATATTACTAGAGCTTAACGGCCAATAATTCAACTCCTTCGAGCGATGCATTTGTTGTTTGAAATTTTAACATGGTCTGATACCCATTGATTACATGGTTCATTATCTCTATGGATTGCATGGAGTTCCCCCCCCCCTGGATATGGTACCTGAGGAACAACCATGGCATACAAGGTTTCTGAATTAGAGAATTTCACACTGCATGCTGTGAAGAAGCCTTGTCTGACTGTAACCTCTCCCAAGTTATCCTCACCCCAGTTTCCCGTGTAAAGATCGATCACAAAGATTGTTTCTTTGTAATTAACTGATACAAGATACAATCTTCCATTTGTTGACGTCGTAAAACTACCATTAAGTTTTGAAGTATTGTTGTTACTACAATGTACAAAGGGCATTCGAAATTTAGATTCCTTGAACTATACCTGGCAATGTTAGATGTGTGGCCAACTATTGTGCGCAATATACCTATTGGAGTCTAAGGCTTTAGAAAACATCATCACGTGTTAATTTCTGCCATTGGAGATGCGATGTGCCTTTAAAGACTCCACCTGCATTTGCTTCTAGCCTAACATAGGATACAATAGTGGTTCAAATATTTTTATTCTGAGCCAGGACAGTGCCGGGAATATCTTCAGATCAATTCTCATCATCTATTTGCTAGTTTTTCTATCTTTTTCTTTCAAGATATAAAAAGGTTAGGGTAGTTTAGATTATGCATGCATACTTTTCTATTATATGGAGATTCATGTTCCCCTGTTTCTTCTTTATAAATTTATCAGAACTTGCTTTATAACTCAACACACATAATTGTAGGGACCTCTTTCTTCAAGCTTTCCCATTGAGAACCGAAACAATCTTGTGACGATGAAGGCCCTAAAGAGCCATCTAGAGAGAGCAAAGAGTCTTCCATTTGTGAAGAGAATTTCAGATTTTCATTTGCTGCTATTTCTAGCCAAGTCCCATGACCTTGGTTCTGATGTTCCAGCACTGGCAGAGTGTGTGGGGACACAGACGGCTGTGCCAGAAGGTTATCAGCTCCTAATTGAATCCATGGCCGACACATCTTGATGGCACTTAGCATAAACTTCTATGATTTCTGTATATTTATGACTGTAACAATTACTTTATGTGATTGTTTACTAGGCTCTTCACAAAATCTCATGTGATTTCAAATTCCTCCCGCGGAAGAGGGTCTCTATTCTGTGGAAGGTATAATAAGTCATTGTAGTTTAGTTGCATAAACTTGCAATCTCGGTTGGTTTAGAGATATGGCTAGTGCTAGTGTTTAATAATCCTTTTGGGTGGAGTTTTGAGGAGTCATTTTAGCACACTGCTCCTCTACATTTCAACCGGAGTTTTATGGTCCAATGAAAAAAAATGCGATAACAGTGAGATTGGTTTTATGTTTTAACGTTTTATTGTAATTAGAACTATAATCATAACAAACTTATTATATTTAAGAAATTTATATTTATACAACCTAATAAATATTTATCATTATTTCTATCGCCTTGTGGGAACCGGTGGTTTAAAAATTTATAAACCGGTTAGCTAGCTGGAAAGTGAAGGAACTGTCTTTTGGAGGTCGGCTAGTACTTCGGTTAGCTAGCTGGAAAGTGAACGAACTGTCTTTTGGAGGTTGGCTAGTCCTTGTGAAATCCGTTTTATCCTCACTCCCTATATTCTACCCATGTTCAATATGCAGGAAGCGATTTATCGAAAATTGACGACCTTATGTCAATTTTTTTGGTGGGGAGGATCTATTGAAAAGAAAAAGGTACATTGGGTGAAATGGTCAACAGTTTGCAGGCCAAGAAATCTGGGAGTCTTGGAATAGCGGATTTAGCAAAGCAAAACAGAGCCCTCCAAGTGAAGTGGATGTGGAAATATGCAAACGAAAAAAACGGTTTGTGACAGAAGGTAACAAAATGCAAGTACAATCTTGAGAATGCTCGACTGCTTCCGGTTAGTCCTCTAAACAACTGAGTCTCATGGATTTGGAAAGGAAAGGTGAAGTCCTTCTTCGATAATGATCATATGGGTAGATGTTTGAACGAAAACTTTTCCTTTATAGTTGGGGATGGGAGAGCCATCTTATTTTGGGATGACCCATGGCTGATTAAGTCCCCCTTAAAAGGTTAATTCCCTCGGATTTATTCTCTTGTTTGTGTTAAAGATGGATTCATCGCAGATTTAGGGCATAATAACGAAGCGGGGTGGTCATGGAATATTAGGTTAAGACAACTTTTTGATTGAGAATATGAGCAATGGGCGGAATTTTTGATTTTGCTTCGTGGTTTCAGACCTATGGATTGCAGTAAGGATTGGATCTGCTGGTCAGGTTCCGGTGATGAAAAATTTACAGTCAGTCTCCTCCATAGTGCACGGAGGTCGACTTTGATTGGAAGAGGTTAGTTTAAAGTGGAGCTGTTCCACCTAAGGTGGAAGTGTTCCTGTGGATAGTGATCCAGAATCGGTTTCCAGTGCGCATCGAATTAGCAAAGAGAGGAATTGTGGCATGTTCAGATGTATCTTGCCATTTGTGTGATCCTCACCCCGAATCGATAGCTCATCTCCCATTTTCATGTAAGGTATCTTAGGTAATCTAGATGTCGTTTGCAAGATTTTGGGATCTCTCTCTAGTCCTCCAAGAAGATTCCAAATCCTTCATCTTGGTCTGGCACGACGTAAGCGCTTCTTTAAAGTCGAGCTCCATCTAGCACTTGATTCCATTTACCATTTCGTGGTTTGTTTGGCTTTTCCGAAAATGAGAGGGTATTCAAAAATTGCCGTGTGGATTTTCTTCAGCTCTTATTTCTTGTGAAATACCGTCTGGCTTCTTAGTTCAAAATTAACCATCCTAGCATATGTTTGTCTCTAGAAGATTTAGTTGGAACCCTCCCCTGGTTCAAAACCCTTTAAGATAGTGACCTGGTCAGCTCCCCCAGAGGGATTTATCAAGTTAGTTGTTGACGGAGCTATGCCAAAAAATGGTTCCACCGGTGGAATCAGGGGGATTTTCAGAAATAGCAAAGGGGAGATCCTAGGGTCGTTTTCATATCAGATCGGTCATGGTCCTCCTACGTTAGCAGAAGTGTTAGATGTAAAGCACTGTTTAGAAATGTTTGTTAATTCATATTCGGTGATCACTCAAAGGCTCATCTTAGAAATTGTAAATTGGTAATTGACTGGATTTCTAACGATGTTTCCTGTCCAGCTTGCTTCTCTTCGCTGGTCAATTCTATTGTAGGCATTATAAGGTCCTGGAATATCTATATCAACCAAATTCCCAGAGCAGGGAACATTGCTGCGGATTCTCTTGCAAAGAGAGTAGGTTGACTGCTGTCTGTATTCTGGTACGTTATGGCTTTGTTTGCCTGGCTATTGACTTGTTATTTTTTCTTGGGTTCTGGTTCGATGTAAATTGACTCATGTTCGGTAGGTTATTTTTGACACTCTTTTCCTTCTCCGCTATCAAAACATCCCTTTGATATAAAGGTTTTTTAATGATACCTTATTTCTATAAAAATAAATCAATACTAATTAACTAAAATAATATTTAACAGATAATTCTCATTTTATTTGATATTATTTGTTCTAATTTGTATTAATAACTATAATTTGGAATAAATATAATCTTATTATATTTTAATTATTTATCTAATTTTTTAATAGTCTTAAGTAATTATAAGATAGTATTTATTTAAAATTTCTTAATTATTAATAATGTATATACATATAAACACAATTGTTTGATCGCGAAAATTCTAAATAGAATAAAACTCCCCTTAGCCTACTCATTTGACTTTTCATTTGAGGATATGCATATTTGTTCCTTTTCCTTTCCTTTTTTCTTTTCTAATCATTTGCCATTCCTTCTTCAATACACCTCAGCGTCATTGGTGTACCAACTAATAGGTAAAATATCCAAATAATTATTAATTTTTATTAAAATATATTTTTAGTTATTGAAGTTTTAAAATTATAAAATATTTATTAAATTTATCAAATTATTATAAAATAATCATTATATATTATAAAATAATGATATTTTTAATAAATTTAAAGATTGTTTTGTAAAAAATTTATAAATTAATTATTATTTTATAATACTTTGAAAAAATTATTGATTATTTTATAAATTTCAAAATTTTAATGAATAAGAATACCATTTCAGAATAATTTAATGATCATTTGTATATTTAACATGTAATTAAATTAATCTAAATGGATACGTGAACGGTGCAAACCTTCAGGAAACCCTTCCGTTCCTAATTTAGAAAAAAATACACTAAATTTCCTGGTAAAACTCTAGAGATAATGTTCTCAAACTATTTATTTCATGAGATAATGCTTTGGCCATATTATTTTCTGAGATAGGGTGAAATCCACAGTGTCGCCGTAGGTCGCCATGCATTTTGGGTGAGCTGTTGAAGGTCGCAATGGCATCCATGCGAGGTAGGTCGCCAGGGCATCCGAGGGCATCTGAGCGAGCTATGTAATGCATGAGCCATGAACCGAGCGAGCTATGTAATGAATGAGCCATGAACGTGGGGTAGGTCGCCATGTGATCCCGGCGAGATTCCTGCATGCTCGCCTGCTCCCCGCTGCTCCATGCAGCTTTATTCGCTGCATTATTGCAGCATCATTTTCGCTGCTTCATGTAGCATCATTTACTGCTTCATGCAGCAATTATTGCTGCAATCCACGAGAATCCAACGGCTCGTGATGTCTTCAATTATTGGTGCATGAATTGAAGCAGCTGACCCTTTAATATATAGGGTATGATATGGGGTTAGGGAAGCATAAGAAAGAAAGGGAGAAGAGTGCCGAGAGAAAGGAAAGGAAGAAGAGGCAGAAGAAGAAAGGGAGTCCGGCAAACATCGAGGTAAATTTTCATTTTATTTAAATTAGTTTATTATTTTAAATTATTAGTTTGTTAGTTTAGGGTTTAAGGTAAAACAAAAATTTAGTTAATTAGTTTGTTAGTTTAAGTTATATTATTGTTAGTTTAAGTTCTATCATACACAAATAAAAAATTATTTAATTAGTTTGTTTGATAGTTATATATTAAAAAATAATTAATTAGTTTGTTTGTTAGTCATTAGTTATATATAAAAAATAGTTAATTAGTTTGTAGTTAGTTAAAAAATTAAGTTATATTTGTTTGTTGAATTTATATTATATAAAAAATTTAGTTAATTAGTTTAAGTTTTATTATAATAAAAAATAGTTTATTAGTTTAAGTTATATAAAAGAATAATTATTTAAATTAGTTTATTATTATAAATTATTAGTTTGTTAGTTTAGGGTTTAGGGTAAACAAAAAATTAGTTAATTAGTTTCTTAGTTTAAGTTATATTATTGTTAGTTTAAGTTATATTACATAGAAATAAAAAATTATTTAATTAGTATGTTTGATAGTTATATATTAATAAAAATAATTAGTTAGTTTGTTAGTCGTTAGTTATATATAAAAAAATATGTAATTAGTTTGTGTTAGTTAAATAGTTAAGTTATATTTGTTTGTTGAATTTATATTATATAAAAAATTTAGTTAATTAGTTTTTTAGTAGTAAATTATAATTAAAAATCGTTTATTAGTTTAAGTTATATTAAAGAATAGTGTATTAGTTGAAGTTATATTAAAGAATAGTTTATTAGTTGTTTAAGGGAAAATTCAAGTTTAAGTTATATTTTAGAAAGTTTAGTTTGTTAGTTTATTATATTATAAGTTATTATATTAAATTTTTGTTGTTGTGTTGTAAATTAGTTAGTTAGTTTATATTAGATTATATTAAATTATTTTTTAAATATTGTTGTTTAATTTGTTTTTACAGATTCATTCCAATGGCTGACCAAATTTCACTGCTGAGACTTGACAATGAACATATTTCAAGTCATTTGGGAATAATGGTGAATAAAATATTTGTTTAATGAATTATGATTAATAAATATTTGAATATTATTTTATGATTGTGATAAATTTTTTGAAATATTTAATTGCATGAGGACGAGCAGCGAGTCCTTCGTCATCGGCTACATAAAGTCCCCAAGCCACACCGATTGATAGAAGAAAACTTGCAAGAGGCTGGATTTTGGTATGTAACATTTGTGCGAGATTACAAGTTGGTCCCAGGTTTGATCAGTGCGTTGATTGAACGTTGGAGACCAGAAACGAACATGTTTCATTTACCGTGTGACGAATGTACGATAACTCTGGAGGATGTGGTAATGCAACTCGGGGTCCAAATAAATAGGATGCCGGTGGTAATGAACATGAGTTTAATAA